TGACAAACCAAATAAAATAAATAAAATGAATAAATTTAATAAGAGATGTTCCGATTCTTCGTTCCAGAGTTCTGGAATTGAATGTATTTAGTATTTAAAAAGAAGAAGATATATAATCATACAGTTGAAATATTGAAGGACAGTCACACAGAAAAAGATTAAAGGAAAGAAATTCCTTAGAATACACAGAAGGGTCATGGATGAGTATTTGATTCATTATGAGAGTTATCTCTACAGTGAACATTCTCAGGAGGCAGCATATGATGTACAATCACCTTCATCTTTTGACAGTTCCATTTTCAGTAGCATTTCTAATGCAGACTGCCTTGTTAGCTTCATAAAAATGATTGATTGCACTAGATTTATAGGGATCCAAAGTGGTACAGTTGGTACCCCTTTCTTCAATTCTCCCCTGCAGACTTTACTAAAATGGGACAACAGATCATTCACACCAATGATCTGCTGTTTACATTCTCAGGCAAACTGCATGAATATAACTAAGACGAGCTGAGCTTTATTTGAAGGCATGTTAACTTCACTGTCAATATTTACTTTTATTTTTATTCTTTACATGATAATACCATACTTCTTGACTATTCCTAATACACCTTGCAGTTGTTCTCTATGGATCTGTGTTTATTGTGTGTATTGTTACAATGGTATCCTGACTTAATTGGACAGATGTTACACAATATATGTAATCTCAGAGAATACAAACATTAGGGAATACAAACAATTAGAACAAGCCATTTTGCAACTGCACTATATGTCTTAATTATAATCATATTGCCAAACACACAAACAGTGTCCTATAGGTACATCATTTTTTAAAAAAATCCTTCCCCCATTGCACATTATAATTTCCTTTTCTCAAAAGAAATTATACAGTATTCCTTTTGGGCAAACAATTCTTGAGCAAACAAGATTTTTCTCTCTGCAGAAACATTATCCTTTGAGATAATTTCCTAAAGAAATCTTTCGGATGCCACTACGGCGAATTATTTCTTGAAAAAAGTATTGCTTAACTGAGTAGGAAAAAAAAATCAATGCTAAAACATTTTCCTGGGTTTTAGCCATATGGGGGCATATGAAAATAGGCTTTTATTTGTTTGCCTTGTTCTTTTTCTTTTCCAAATTGATGGATTGTGTGCTTGCTCCACTATCTTGATGTCTGTCAGTGGTGTCAAATGATAGTCAGACATGATAAGCCATGTAATTCAGTGATATTGCCTACTTCACTATGACACCTGATACTGCAGCACCTTTAATGGATATGAAATAGAGCTCATGCTGAAACTTGTCACACCCTGAAGCAGAAGAGAAAAAGCATTACTTTTCTCACAAGTCACTCGTTCAGAGTTGGGTCACTGTGTCTGGCTGTGAATACATCACTCTGTTTCTTCTTGTGGCACTTTCCCATCATGTCTGATTATGAGTTATTTGCACTGAAGTCAGTTTAAGGGACTAAGCAACTCTGCTTGCAAATTGTTAAATGTCTTTTCTCATCCTGTTCTCCTTTTCTTTCTGATGTAACTCAGTGGTGGGATTCAATTTTTTTTTACTACCGGTTCTGTAGGTATGGCTTGGTGGGTGTGGCTTGGCTTGGTGGGTGTGACTTAGTGGACATGCAGGGGAAAGATATTGTAAAATCTCCATTCCCACCCCACTCCAGGGGAAATAAACTGCAAAAATGCTTATCCCACTAACCTGCTTTCCAGCTCCATTCTCTTGTGCAGGTCAACAAAAGAAGACCCAGCCAATCAGCTGAGACTTGGGAGGGAGAGAATAGATGGGGGCAGGGCCAGTCAGAGGTGCTATTTGCCGGTTCTCTGAACTACTCAAAAATTTCCACTACCGGTTTTCCAGTACTGGTCAGAACCTGTTGAATGCCACCTCTGATATAACTGTTTTACTACTATTAATTTAAAAAGAGGCAGGAAAATATATGTATGTAAAGAGAAAAAAAATATGAAGAGACTAAGAAAATAAAGAAACTTTTGTAATTATTAGAATATGGTCTTGGTGGAGGAGTATGGCCCTTATTCTGGAACAGATTCACTACTGTGATATAAACAATAAAATGGGTGTATGGGGGAATATGATGATGGTGGTAGTGGGATGTGACTGAATATTTTCTTTTTAAATATGTTTAAGCTTACTCATTACAAACGTTCACCAATCCTCTAAGTAATATGAAAAATATGAAAAGCTTTAATAAAACTAATCATAGCATAGAAGCAAAACTGTATCATTATAACATCCAGTGTTGGTTTTCTATCATGTTCAAATTCCATACATTAGTGCTTACATACCAGGAATCAGTTGCAAAAAGAAAATATTACAAAGAGATTGAAAAAAAATCTTAATATAGATTTGTGTAGAATGTCAAATAGGTTGGATAATATCATTTGGTCTGATATTCATCCAGGGTTTTCTTGTAAGCTAAAAATCATATAGATGTAGACCTGTTAGGGTGATAGAAATGATTCCATGTTTTGAAAATCACACCTGAAATATTAAAATAAGCTTTGTTGATATCCAATAGGCTGTGATGTAAAGTAAGATAGATATTAAAAACCAGGGACATAATCCCTGAAGACCTTTATAAGGAAATTACTATAGATCAGTGATGGTGAACCTTTGTGTGTGTGTGTGTGTGTGTGTGTGTGTGTGTGTGTGTGTGTGCTAAAAGTGTGTGCATGCCAGCATCCACAATGCAATGCGCCCTGCCCCCCCATACATGCGTGCCCAACAACCTTGCCCTGTCCAGTTATCTGCACTGTGCATGCGCGGGTCTCCCAATTGATTTACAGCCCGTTTGAGGCCATTTTTTCACCCTCCCGGAAGCTTGAGGGAAGCTTCTGTAGCCTCAGGAGGCCAAAAAATGGGCCTTCTGGAAATACCAGAAGTGCCTGTTTTCAGCCTCTGGGGGGTCTCTGGAGCCCGCAGTAGGCCCTTTTTGTCCTCCTGGAGGCTCAAGCCTCAGGAGCCTCAGGAGGTTGAAAATGGGCGCATTTCAGCACTTCTGGTATTTCTGGAAGGCCTGTTTTTCAGCTTTCTGAGACTGCAGAGGCTTTCCTCGAGCCTCCGGGAGGGCGAAAACAGCCTCAAATGGGCCAAAGTCAGTTGGGAGGTGCACACATGTGCAGTGCAGAGAAGTTTGGCTGGGGATCACAAATGGCTCTGTGTGCCACCTATGGCACGCATGCCATAGGTTCACCATCATGGCTATAGATGGCTCTTTTTCCTATTATTATAGTTGTTTTTCACTCACTTAGTAATAAGCAGAACCACTGTATTATGAAATTTCATTCCTAACCTTCAATGGCATTTCAAAACAATATGGAGCTTGATAGTATCAAAAGCTACTAAGAAGCCCCAATGCATTGGGAGACATGAACTGTTCCAGGTCCAGGTCTCATAAAAGTCATCTAATAGGACAACCAATGTAATTTCCATTTCATGCTGTGGAAGAGCATACTTAAGAAAACTGAAAGCATTTGTGACACCTTTCCTTCCCATTTGAGTTTTTTTGCCTATTGTCAGCACAACAGAGTTGCTGATTAAACAACAACCTTGAAAGGTGTAGGAGGAGAAAAGATGAGATGCTGTGCAACTTTTTGAATTTCTAAAGACATCATTGAACAGAGAAGTGCAGCAGCAAAAAGACGTGAAATTTTCCTTCAGAGGGAGTGGAGCAAACAAACAAAAGTATAGAGATCCAGCAAGAAAAAGCACAACTTGGCAAGGTGCCAGCAGTAACAACATACTTGTTAGCAGTAACAACAGAGAAGAAGAAAAAACCACAGAGAAATTAAGACAGAGAACAGGTTCTGTAAGAGGAAAACATTGCTATGCATTAGTAACAGTGAATAGTACAGAAGTAATAGTAATAAAGTGCAGAGACAATTGTAATAGTAATAGTATAGAGGTAATAGAAGTAGAAACTGTATAGATATAATTGTAATAATATAGAATAATACATGGTAATAATATAGAAACAATAGCAGTAGATAAGAATATGGAATAGAGGTAATAGGAAGCAATTACACATATATTTGTAAGTCTTACACATCCAAAGACCAGAGCTGTTGTGTCTCTCTTGAGTCTGGGTCAATCTAATTGGATATGGTTTAAAAAAAATGCATCACATTCCCAAGTCAGAAACAGATTGTCTCCCCTAAAAAGAGAAAATTGGAGATTATTAAATAAGCTGGATTTAAGGAAGGCTCCTCAGGAATACATCTACCTAACTGATCCAACAGCTCACCATAGGGACTAGTATAGAATACATACATTGGTGGCATAATATATCTCATAGAACATTTTTGTCATTTTTTCAGAATCAACAAGCCAACTTGAATCCCAGATAAATTTATGGGCACTATCACACCCATTTCCTTTGACACCATCCAACAAAATCCAATCAAAAAGAGGTTTTATTCATAAAATGCTACACAAGAGCTTACAATTGTGGTACAACCAAATCAGTGGTGGGATTCAATTTTTTTTACTAACGGTTCTGTGGTATGGCTTGCTGGGCGTGACAGGGGAAGGATGCTGTAAAATCTCTAGTCAGAGGTGGTATTTGCCGGTTCTCTGAACTACTCAAAATTTCTGCTACTGGTTCTCCAGAACTGGTCAGAACCTGCTGAATACCATCTCTGAGCCAGATGTTCACACTGGTTATCTTAAAAAGCCCAGTGGAACACATTTTGCTGATGCCAAAAGACTATAGAAATAAATCATGACTTTTAAAGCAATCCTGAATAACATCAAGACACAAGCCTATAATTTCACACATGAAATTGTCAAAAGCTTTATTTTCATTTTAAATTATGAATCATTTAATGGTTATACAAGTTCACCACATATTCTACCAAGCTTCTCATGCTTATTCAAACAGCAGGAATCAAGTGATTCTATATTAAGTATAATAACTGCAGAATTACAGTGTCAAATTTATAGACCAAAAGGATAATGACCCTGAAAAAAATATTATAAATTGAATGAATCCAAGGCAACATTTTCTGGTGGTATATGTGTGTTTTCAGAGATTCTTATTTAGCCACTCAATGTAGTTGTTAGCCATTCTGTGTCCTGTATTTAAGGCAAAAGGACCTGAAAGAAATGTCATGCTACCGTGAAAAGCATTGTCAGCATGTTCATGTGCTACTTGAACTCCTGCTTCCCTAAGACGGGAAGCATAAATGATTCCATCATCCCTCAAGATATCATATTGACAAGTGAGGATATATGTAAGTGGTAAGCCCCGAAGCTTGATGTCCTCAACTAAAAGTGGTGCTACCCTTGGATCCACAAAATCTTGATATTTGAGCCCAATTTTGGAATTTCTATGTGATGGGTCAGTATAAACATGACCTTTTTTAAATCTTTCAGGTAGCCAGTTACTCCAGTTTACAAATGTAAACAAATGGTTGTACTCTACAGGAACATGTTGGTTGGTCTCTAAAGCTTTGAGAAAAGAGTCATCTGTTTTAATATATTCACTGAAGAATCTGATTATTAAGGCTTTTGGCAGAATTGGCATGTTTTTATTATCTTGATAGGATGGCAATTCCACATCAATAATTTGAAGACCAGGGTATAATAAAGCTTGAACCTTGAATTTAGCGTTGACGTCAGGGTCATCTAGAAGCTAGAAAAGAAAAGTATTTATTAGAAATATTTTTCCTATGAAAGATGGACTACTTAATATGTTTCATATTTCATAACGTAAGCAAAGCAGTCATTAAAATGTCAAAGCTTATACATTTTCTATCTCTTTTATTCAAAACCATTACTGATATGTTTTTCACAGTATTTGTAATCTGCCAATTTTCTACAGCAATGACTTTGCAATAAAATTGCAAATAAAATACTAGAAGATATTTTATTACACTTGCTATTCAAACATATCTTGAGAACTTCAGTATGTTCCAATATTATTCATCAATGACTATAATTTAAATATTCTTTATTATTACTCTGTGGAGTTTAGATGTTTTAGGAGTTATCTGATTCTTTTTCAGTTCTTTTTCATAGTCAAAATAGGCTGGGTAATTTAGCAATCAATTAAAACTCTCATCCTTGTAAAGTACAAGTCATGTCCGACTCGGTATACAAATATTGTCCCAAAAAGTGTCTTCTTATTCCCCCAAAATTATTTCCTCTTGATAAATTTTTGTTGGTTTGTCTTATGTCACTCACTGCTTATATGAACATGTTAAATTTACTTTGATGGTGTTGTTGAACTTGCTTTATTCTTACAATGGGACTGAAGTTACATCTTTCCTTTATATTTAGGCCTCTATAGCTTCTTAATATGGAAATGCTCCATGGTAAAGTATACTGGCAGTCCTCAACTTACAACAGTTTGTTTAGTGACTGCTAAAAGTTACAATGGCACTGAAAAAAGTGACTTATAACTGTTTTTTACACATATGACTGTTGTGTCAGGATAATGTGATCACTTTTTGCAACCTTCTGACAAGCAAAGTCAATGGGGAAGCCAGATTCACTTAATAACTGTGTTACTAATTTAACAACTGAAGTGATTCACTTGACAACTGTGGCAAGAAAAGTTATAAAATGGGGCAAAATTCATTTAACAATTGTCTTGCTTAGGAATAGAAATTTTGGGCTCAACTGTGATCGTAAGTTGAGGACTACCCGTACTTCTCTTGAGATTTAAGACTGGAGACAAACCCAGATTTCAATCTCCTGGACACAACCTCCCTCAAATCACTTCATAATTAAGGTACATAAAAGAACAAAAGAACAGCAGATAACAATTTCTCCTTTTTCCCCCTAAGAAAATTCAAAAATATGCAGATGAAATTTTTGCTCAGCATTAATTTATAAAATATATGTCAGATCCTACTTCTTTATAAGTACAAAGTCACTTCCATTTCAATTCTTATTGAAATTTCATCTTTTTAATGCTTGAATAAATGTAATAAATCAAACACGTAATGAGCAACTATATCAAATAAAATGTAAGAATCGGAATTGTTTGTTTGTCATGTCATTCACAGCTCACATGAACATGTTAAATTTACTTTGATGGTGTTGTTGAGCTTGCTTTATTCTTGAAATGGGGCTGAAGTTACATTTTTCACAATGAAATAACCATTGACAAGGTGCTATCTAGTGGATTTCCTCCTGAATCAGTTTTCTTCTTGGGCTTCGTTGCAGCCATGGTAGATGGCCTGCATGCCATTTCTTGCTCTGGGGCAATCAACAAACTAAAAATCTAGGACTTTCTTTACCCTTCTAATGTGAAAAGTCCCAGCAGTTGCCCTGATTGTTAATTGCTGCAGTTAGTTCTTATTTATATCCCAAGGTATTAGGTTACATGATAATTTCAGACAGTTGGGATTAAATTAACATGCATAATTCTATGATCCTCCATTTTGGACTCCTTAGAAGACCCTGAATCTTTTGGGGTAACTGAAAATTGTGGCTTCCTAATCTTAGGTATCCAGCGTGAAAAGCCCCAAGGTACCTAGTATCTAGATAGCTTCAGATAACAGAGGTTAATGACATGTATAATTCCATTTTGGATTTATTACTTTCAAATGGGTAATTCTTACCTGCTGGGTTACAGCTGCAGCTAAGTTACCTCCTGCACTGTCTCCTGCAATGCCGATACGGCTTGGGTCTACAGTATATTTCTCCAGAATGCTGCTTTGTAGAAAGTATTTTGCTACCGAGTACACATCTTCAAATGCAACTGGGAATCGATATTTTGGAGCTAGTCTATAACTTTTTGGAATTGATTAAAAAAAGACAATGACAAAAAATAGATAAATTTCCTGTGTTGGTAAAACAAAATTAATTTATCACTAGATTTATACTATTGATATTAGTTTTTAAAAGGTGATTTCCTTCAATATAGAAATCGCTTCATTTTTATTTTTTTTTGAACTCCTGACTTATTTGTGTGCTAAATGATCAATAAAATTTCTTTCCCTTTTACTGACTAACTCTAATCTGGTCTGTTTTATCAATAGCTTCATAGGAAGTTATGCTTAATGGAAGCTATAAATTATATGGAATAATCTGAGAGAATAATCTTTAACTTTGAAAAATACCATTAGCTTTTTTTTAAAGGAGCTGCTAAGCAAGATTGATGTAATAATCTGTGGAAATACCCTTAAGAAAGAGAAAGAAGAACCACAGCCCACAGATAAGAGATAAGAGAGAAGGGATGGGATGTGGAAAGCATCTCAGAAAGGACCATCCTGGTTCCTTTGAAAGTAAAGGCAACAATGGGCAAAATGCAAGTTTATGCTACTATAACCTTGCAATAAAGGTAGTGTTACTACTCATAGTGTTGGTTTCTTGTTGAATTACCACAAAAGGCTGACAATTGGGATAGTTATATTTTTATATGGTGAAATGGTGATTTTAGTCTGTTGAAATTATTTGTGCATTTCACTTTATGTATTTAAGTATTTTGTACCATCTTCCAATCATATTCTGTTTGTTTACTCTTTGTAAAAAGATAAAAGACAGTAAATGTAAAACTACATTAATTATCCTTTATAAATATGAAACAATACTTAGAGCAAAGCATATCCAAGGAAGTATAATTTAGAAATCAATAACAATATAAATGGGGCTTCATGCCAGTTTGTGCTATTAGTAATCATTATTTTTTTTGTTTGTAGAAAAAGATTAGGAAAATATTAATGAACAAAAATGTATACTTCAAACACTATTCTTACTCAACTGACACCACAACAGCACTTAGTCTTTCTGACGTCCATCTTGATAAAAGGTCATAGGATTTCATGGCTGTGAAAAATAAGTGGCAAAGCATGTTTTATTACTCTTGCAATACCAATACACAGTACATGCTTCAAAACCAATATGGAACAAGGGCTTTAGTAGACTAGCAGAAAAGTGAGCCTAGCATGTCACCCTAGAAAACTAAGAAACATCAAGCTCCTTTTATGAATAGCAAAAATATTCCTGCCTCATGTTCATGGGAGATCTGAAGTCCTAAGCCTACACAGTTCTAAGGAGCTGTTTTGTGTTTCTTTTGGAAGGGACTTTCTGAAAGTTTTCCATGAACCTCTAATCCAATGTTTCCCAATCTTGGCAACTTCAAGATTTGTGGGTGCCAATTCCCCAAATTCTACTGGCTGAGCAATTCTGGGAGTGGAAATTAATTTTGGGAGCACCATAAAATTGCATGGCAGAGATAAATGGTTCTAATCTTTTAACATTCAGTGATTCCTTGGAATGACACTCCTCCTGCTGAGGCTGCCAAGAAAAACTATCAAAGTAAAGAAGCAAGTAGTCAACAGGATGTGAAGATCTTTTTAAATGGGTTTTTAACATTCCCATCTTTACATTGGAGTAGGAATACTTTTTCATTGATTAAGCACAGTTTTAGTGTGCCTGGGGATATCTTCCTTTATCTTTGTGAAGCTCAGTGTTCTATCTGATTTGAAAGGAGTGGGATTTTTTTGTTTTTTTCTAATGGAAAAATTAACATGCTACAACAAGGTAACAGCCTCCTTTATGTTTGAGAATGCTGCTTGTTGTTACATCCCATAAATATCTCTAGGAAATTAAAATAATGGGATGGCAGCAAGTTAGTACTTTATTTCCCCCTTCTCTCAAATTACATTGTAAATTAAAATTGGCAAGCAGATAAACTGGCAAGAGCTAGAGAGGTTGGGAGGACCAACCTCTTCAATTTACCTTTTGACAATTGTAAATCTTGTACCTTCTATGTGATTCATTTTGGAAGAATCATCAGGATGTTTTTTTTAAAAATTAATTAATTAACCACTGACTCAAGAAGGTTGGATATTTCTATTATACCTCAATGAACACTGATGTCCCTGGGACATCAGAATAAATAGATACATTTTTTATTTTAGACATTAGTCAAATATTCCACATTAGTGGAATAAAATACTTATGCTTACTTGCTGATCCTATACACCATCCACCTCCATGGATAAAAATCACTGCTCTTTTCAAGACATTTGACTTCTTTATAGGAATGTAAAGACGTACTGGAACATGGCTAAAGTTTGTTTCTGTTACAATAACTTTTTCATCAGATGTAGGTGCCGTATATTCAGCAATTGTGTGCAGATTTATAACATCCATATAGTGTGCAAGATCCAACTTCTCAACAATTGTGGCCTACAAAGCGAAAGAAATGTTAACATCCTTGTGGTAAGCAAGGGCTTCATAATACTATAAACTCCATTTCTTTTTCCATAAACCAGTGTTTGGCCATCATCTGGCCAGCAATTGCTAGGAGCCAAACAGGCGATCCATCAGAAGGGGCTCAGGGAACAACAAGAAAGCACCTGATTGGAATCAACAAGGACCAGAAGACAGTTCATGAGATAATCTAGCACCCATTCAGTAAATATACTGAAAAAGACTGATATACACCACAGTGGTGGGATTCAAATAATTTAACAACTGGTTCTCTGCCCTCATGATTTCTTCCAACAACCAGTTCACCAAACTTCTCAGGAAGTTACCAACTGATTCTCCTGAACTGGTGCAGAATTTGCTGAATCTCACCACTGATGCACCAGACACCAGATGTGACGGAAGAAAATATCCACAAAAGCTTTGGAGAAAAGTATCATGCAAGAAAAAGAATTATTTTTGCTTCAAAGAAAGAACAGTATCTGTTGGCCTGGAAAGGACACCATGAGATACTCCAAGGAGATTTTGAAAGGAATTCATGGCAATGGAGCCCATCATTTCAGGTACCTGCAGATACTAGAAATAGCAAGCAAGAGAGAGAGAAAACAGGGAAGTAATAAAATAATAAAGCCTACACTCACAAACAAACAAATCTCCATACCACAAGCCAGGCAAACACCTGGGCACAAACAGACCCCCGATACCTCCAGCTCAAACAAACCCCAACCAGGCACCCAGATGAAACCTAGCTTCCTAATAAATGATAACCATCTGTTTACTCGGAGCCAAGCCGCACTAAAAACCTCCAATACAGGAAACACAATGTTGCCAGCCAATCAAGACAAAAAAAAAAAAAAAAAGCTACAAAACAGACATTACAAAACAGATATTAGAAACACCAATCAAGCAGAACACAGCAAACTCCAAGACCAATAAACACAGACCAAGACTCCCAACCAATCAGGATGAAGAAAGAACCATTCTGGCACAGCAGTAGGCTAGCACCAAATTTAAAACAGAAACGGCTGTGAAAGTCTGACTCACAGACAAACACTATACAGAAGCCTGATGATGGTAGATAAGATTCTGCTGAAACGTTGCTACAACTTTAAAAGCACAACTATAATGACGTGGGAAAATACCCGAACAAAGCTGAATACCATATATGCTGCTCAAAAAAATAAAGGGAACACTTAAACAACACAATGTAACTCCAAGTCAATCACACTTCTGTGAAATCAAACTGTCCACTTAGGTAGCAACACTGATTGACAATCAATTTCACATGCTGTTGTGCAAATGTAATAGACAACAGATGGAAAGCATAGGCAGTTAGCAAGACATCCCCAATAAAGGAGTAGTTCTGCAGGTGGTGACCACAGACCACTTCTCAGTCCCTATGCTTTCTGGCTGATGGTTTGGTCACTTTTGAATGCTGGTGGTGCTTTCACTCTAGTGGTAGCATGAGACGGAGTCTACCACACACACAAGTGGCTCAGGTAGTGCAGTTCATCCAGGATGGCACATCAATGCGAGCTGTGGCAAGAAGGTTTGCTGTGTCTGTCAGCATAGTGTCCAGAGCATGGAGGCGCTACCAGGAGACAGGCCAGTACATCAGGAGACGTGGAGGAGGCTGTAGGAGGGCAACAACCCAGCATCAGAACCACTACCTCCGCCTTTGTGCAAGAAGAGACAGGAGGAGCACTGCCAGAGCCCTGCAAAATGATCTCTAGCGGGCCACAAATGTGCCTGTGGCTGCTCAAACGGTCAGAAACAGACTCCATGAGGGTGGTATGAGGGCCCGATGTCCACAGGTGGGGGTTGTGCTTACAGCCCAAAACCATGCAGGACGTTTGGCATTTGCCAGAGAACACCAAGATTGCCAAATTTGCCACTGGCGCCCCATGCTCTTCACAGATGAAAGCACATTCACACTGAGAACATGTGACAGACGTGACAGGGTCTGGAGACACCGTGGAGAACGTTCTGCTGCCTGCAATATCCTCCAGCATGACCGGTTTGGCAGTGGGTCGGTAATGGTGTGGGGTGGCATTTCTTTTGGGGGCTGCACAGCCCTCCATGTGCTCGCCAGAGGTAGCCTGACTGCCATTAGGTACTGAGATGAGATCCTCAGACTCCTTGTGAGACCATATGCTGGTGCGATTGGCCCTGGGACCTCATGTGGCTGGAGTGTGTCAGCAATTCCTGCAAGACGAAGGCATTGATGCTATGGACTGGCCCACCCATTCCCCAGACCTGAATCCAATTGAGCACATCTGGGACATCATGTCTCGCTCCATCCACCAACACCACATTGCACCACAGACTGTCCATGAGTTGGGGGATGCTTTAGTCCAGTGTGGGAGGAGATCCCTCAGGAGACCATCCGCCACCTCATCAGGAGCATGCTCAGGCGTTGTAGGGAGGTCATACAGGCATGTGGAGGCCACACACACTACTGAGCCTCATTTTGACTTCTTTTAAGGACATTACATCAAAGTTGGATCAGTGTTTTTTTTTTCCACTTTAATTTTGAGTGTAACTCCAAATCCAGATCTCCATGGGTTGCTAAATTTGATTTTCATTGATAATTTTTGTGTGATTTTGTTGTCAGCACATTCAACTATGTAATGAACAAAGTACTTAATAAGAATATTCAATTCATTCAGATCTAGGATGTCTTATTTTTGTGTTCCCTTTATTTTTTTGAGCAGTGTGTGTGTGTGTGTGTGTATGTTATGTCTCACCTGAGATGAGACTACAAAGTTCCAGAGTTCAAAATATTCAAACAAGAACAAAACCAGACTCAAAAGGGTTAACAGTACTGTTTTCCTTTCCTTGGCAGTCTTCCCGAATCTGTCTGGCAATTCAGAATTGTTCATAAATCACAACGGCCGCTTCAAACGTATCCTTTCGAACCCACGAAGCACTTTGCTTCCAAGCAAAGATTGAGAGTCAGCACGCCTCCTTAAATCACCTGGATGGGCGTGTCAGTCTCTCTAATCAATGTCTGGCTTGACGCCTCCTTTCAGATTGTGATTGACGTTTCAATCTTCTCCTAGTTCTAGCGTCAAGCCAACATCGGTCAGTGTCCTCCTCCTCGCTAGAAGCCTCTGGCTCATTTTGTGGATCAGCTGTTTGCATGAACGAAGTCGAAGGTTCTGGAGAGGATTGTCTCTCTGACAATCTCTCATCCTCCTGGCTCACATCTGTGTCCTCTGATAATTCAGACTCCACATTCACAGCAAGCTCAAACCTTC